TCCTCCTCCTCCTCCTCCCTCCCTCCCTCCCTCCCTCCCTCTCTCTCTCACTTTCTTTCTTTTTTTTTCTTAGCAGTAAGCTTCAAAGAAACAAAGAAAAGTGCCAGGATGTGGTCTCTGGATGAGTCAGAACCTATGAGAGCAAGGACACCCAGTTGTTAACTGCCTCACTGCAGTCTCTATCCTTTCAATGAATTATGGTTATCGGCAAAAAGTGAATAACAATCTCTGCTTTCTTTCTGTGGTAATAATTAATCAATTCTAAAATGTCAACAGAAAATTCCAACTCCTAACCACATGCACAATGCCCTGTATGATTTGCTCCCGCCTGTCTCTTCAGCTGCATCTTAGGCCACTCTACACCCCTCTAGGGCTGCTCTCGCCACGCTGGTCCAGGCCTGCTTCTTAGCACTTGAATTGTGACTAGTCTGAGTGAAATATGCTACAAGCATAACATATACACCAGACTTTTAAGTCAGTAGGAAAAAAAGAATGCAAAATATATCATTAATAATTTTACACTGATTACATGTTGAAGTGATAATATTTAGCATGTGTTGAGTGTCTGTTTTGTTTCTTTCACTCTTTTTGAAAGGACATTGCAAAAAATTTAAATTATTTTCGTGGTTCGCACTGTATTTCTATCGGACTGCCCTGCTCCATCACGGTACCCTATTTTGTTTCATTCTTGGCACTTAACACTATTTGGACTCAGCGCCCACGTGTTAATTGTTGAGTGTCTTTCTCGCCCAACCACACTGTCAGACAGTATCCTTGTCGGTTTCATTCACATCTGATTCCCAGGCATTTAGGACGGGGCATGTAAGTAAGTACTCAATAAACATTTCTGAATGAATGACCTTACTCTTCCTCAGCGGGAGACTGTGAGCTCCATCTGTCCTCCCCAGAACACGGTCTCAAGTCCTTTAGGCTGCTCGAGCAGCTCAGTCTTGACATTGAGAGGAAGGGTGGATGGAGATCCACGCAGGATGAAACCTCCTTTTGCCGCCGAAAGAACTGGGCACACAAAGGAAAGGAAGCAAAGGGGGCAAAACCTCCCCCGGTCCTCTTCCGCCTTGGCCCCACGGCCAATCACGGGGCACGTCGCCCTCCCGCCACACGGCGGCGCCTCCCCAGCGCGGTGGCCGATGGTACAGCCCGTTCTCCCCGCGCCCTGCGGACAGTGGGTCCTCCCAGGAGTAGAAAAGCATTGTGGGAGGGCCGCGCGGCCTTTCTTACCTCCGCGCTCCGGTCGAGGTGTGCGATTTCTGGGGTTCCGGGATGGCGGGTGGCTCCCGTCGGCCGAGGCGCAGGCCGCGGTTGCGCGGCCGCCCTGAGCCTGGTGACGTGCCCGCGGCGGCCCGGCGGGGTCCGAGGGCCCGGGCCCTGAACGCGTGGAGGGCAGCGGCCTGGCCTGACCTCCGCCACGTTGGCCGTGGTACCCCGGGAGGCCCCGCCGCGACCCCCAGCCTGCGTTCCCACGCCAGGAATTGGGGAGATTGGTTTGAGTGCATCTAAGTTTATTGGTCATCGACTGTGTGCCAGGCAGCTTTTAATAGAAGCAAAGATTTCTCTCGTGTGAACGGGAAAGGCCTGACCGCAGGACTGCATGTATGCCTACCCTGTCACAGCGGGAAATAATGGGCCACTGAAGGTTTAGGCCCTTGACGGCTGTTAAAGATGCAGAACTTGGCAGGTGAGCTTTCATGTTGGTGCAAAAAAGAGCCGTTGCGTTGAAGTTTTAAGATGTTAACCGTTTAAAACACTTATCAGTTTTAATGACCTTGTCGCATTTTCAACTGTAAATCTAGAGCTGGGATTAGTTAATTCCCCTTCCAGCTCTAATCAACAGAACCGTTCATCTCAGCCAGTTGATTTAAGTTTTGTGCCATAGACACAGCGGTTCTTAACACAATTTCCAAGTAGCCTTTGTGTTGCCCGTTCACTTTTGGAAACTAGTGAATGTGGTGTCAAAAAAGGCATAAACTAAACACTTTGCAGCCCTTTCCTGCCTTTGAAATTGTTATCTTGGGTGTAGGAGCTGCATAAGTAACAATTTGTGCTTCTCCATTAATTTGCACATGTGATAACTGCCAATGTGTATAGTGGCTCTTAACCGGTCTTAACTAATTTTCGTTTAGGTGAAAGATGGATGCTTGAAGCAGATGGATGCTGTTAGCTGAACACCTGGGAGCACAAAGGTGACCTAAGGTAGGGTGATGTTCGTTGAAGTTCTGTCTAAACGCAGTTATTTCTAATGGGAATTTTATCACCTTTCTAGATTGGGATGCCTTACCTTGTGGGTATTAGTTTAAAATCGGTATTAATGGCTCAGTACTGCTATATCTGTGGTTAACATGGTTAAGTCTATAGCAAATGGGATAGCATGTTCCCAGCATATTTTCGAAATCTTAGGATGGTTCTGTGTGTAGCAGCTAATTTAAAAACCACTTGTCATGCCTCAGGAGGCACGTTTTATGTTGACATTTAAATAAGTCCAGAAATGCAGAAAGTAATGCAATGCAGAATGTGTGGAGTTTATTACCAAGTTCTTAAGGTATGATGCATGTGAGTACTTGCTTGTCAGATTGTTCTTTTCTTTTAGGATGTCCTTGGTGAAGAATTTGAAAACTTGATCGATCTTCACAGGAGTTGCTTGGATCATTTAAAATCTTCAGGAGTCTGAGGACTACTAAAACTGCTTTTGGACAGTCCATAAAGATACATTGAAAACAGCGTGTCTATGAATAAATACTTAAGTGTGCTTCATGGAGATTTGTGTTATTAAGTGCCTGTGAGAAGATAGCATGCTTTCACTGAAAGATCAAAGGGAGGTTTTTGCCCTTCTCACCCAGCAATTTCAAACTTGTTAAATCTTAGCAGTTAAGATTAATATTCAGTGCTATCAGTCACTGATAGGCTTATGAAACACAGGCTTATGTGAAGCCCAAGGAGAAATAATGTGCTTTCTTCCACTGCCTCGTGATCAACTGAATTAGACGAGTTGGTTTCTAGGTCACGGGTGTGCTTTCACACTGTCACTGCATTTTTTTCTTATGTGACTACATTGTAAACTTGAAGTCAGCATACCTCCTGCCTTCGCTTTGCAAAGACAATATGTTCAGGCATTGAAAAAATTTATTGAAAGCACTGTACTAGGAGCTGGGGACACACAGGATGAGCAAAATATTGAATAGTTCCTCCCTTTGGAATCTTACAGGTGAATGGAGGAAATACCACAAATGTAAAACTTTGTGAGACAAATCCTATGCAAAGTAGGGTCTGACCAAGTCAGAAAGCAGAGTGGAGACTAAGGGTGGGTATGGTTTTTGTGAGCAAAATTGGGGGAGTGGCATGTGCAGAGGCCTTGAGCTAGAAAAATGATATGACCCTAAGTCCAGAATTGTAACAGTTGTAACTGCTTTCCCTCTTTGGTGCCCTGATTTAGATAAGAAGGCTTAATGAGGCATGTTATGGCCATTATGGGAACTGGGAGTCTTAGAAGTTAAGGCTGAACAGGTAAGATGCCAGACCACGTAAGGCTGTATTCAAAGCAAAGGGAGATCTGTGATCACATTTGCAAGAAAATGAATACAAGTGGGCCCACTGGAGGCTAGTATAGTTGTCTGGGCAAGAGATGACCATCTTGGATCAATGTGGTAAAATTAGTAAAGGAATAATTAAGCTCTAGAGGGCAAAGCTGACAGGACTTGGTAATAGGGGAAGTGTCCATAATGATGCTAGGTATGTAGACTTGCACATTCATAAGCATAAGGCCCTAAATCCAGCTGGGGGGGCAGCATTTTAAACTAATTGGTCACTTGGCAGGACACTAGTCTGTAGTCCAAGCTAAGTACACCTGAGGGGCATGGGCATGAAAACCTGTGGTAGAGGAAGAGGGTCTGAGGTTTGAGGAACTAGTAATTAGTGAGGTAGGGTAGAATGAACTGCAATGGAGGATGAGGATGATAGAAATTAAATGGGAAGCACGACATTAAAGCAGCAAGAAGTGTGCAAGGCAGCCTAAAAGTTAGCCTTGGGCCTTGTGATTTGGTGACATGCAGGTAACTAGTGGAGTCTGCTTTAGTGGAGCCCTGGGGGAGGATCCGTATTGAGAGATGAATTGAGGACACTGGTTATAGTGTCTGGTTAATCTTTTTTGAGAAACTTGGAATGGGAGAAATGGTAGCTGGGGAGGGATCTGTGCTTGCAAATCAGAGAGGAAAGGTCTGAAATAGTCCTTGGGGGGAGAGATAGCCAAGCAGGCTGGAGGGACCGTTTGAAGTTGAGCGTGGTAGGAATTTATAAGCTGAGGTCAACTGAAATCCACACATTGCCTTTTTCCTGAAAACAAAAGACAAGGACACTAGAAATTAAAGCAACACTTTCAAACAAAGCTTTTTTTACATTTGTAAATAACCAGTGGAACTTAATGCCACAATATACAGTATTACAAAGAACATTTATATTAATATCTGCAGTCTGGAAGTGAGGTGACAGTCCTCAGTGCATCTGCACAGGCTGAGGTCCAGCTAGAGCTGGGCAGAACCTTTTCACCCCACTTGGTGTCGTGCACAGCCAGCCAGCTGCGGTCCAGGATTCCAGAACTGACCAGAAGCGTCTGGTTCTGGTTGTAGAGACCAGATCCTCAGCTTCCACCACGGAAAATAACGGCATCGAGTGAATGAGTTTTTACAAGACAGCTATCCTTCCAGTTACAAATTAAAAGTCCCTTCACAAATATGCTGTAGTTAAACCTTTAAAAGAAGCAACAGACTTAATTTTCTTCTGAAGAAACACTTGAAGGTCCAAGATACTTTAATAATTCACAGTTTCAAAGTAGGTGGCACACACACACCCTTCCCACCCCCCACCCGGCCCAAGCCCTTCACTGGGATCAAGTCTCTATCTTGAGGCGTGAAGCTTGGATAGTTTTTATGGTTTTCGCTGTATGTTTTCCAGCCAGATTGCTTGTAGATGTCTGAGATTTTTCTTCAATCAGGCTTTCTTTAGACCCATTTCTTCTCTAGAAGAAAATATTTGAAAAATAAGATGCAGAGAACATACAGCCAAGTCAGTTTTATTCATCAGAAATTAAGACTGTCTAACACTTAAGACATCAAGTTGCAAAATTATTTAAGAAAGGTGCATATCAAAAGCTATTCAAAAATCCCTCTAAATATTTAACCTATGATAAACAACATGAAGATGGTTTAAATTTTAAATATAAAATTCATTCCAACAGTTACATATATAGAAATTATATTCATGAAGATTAGGCATAACTACCCATCCCCCCAGTTGTCATTTTCTTTGTAGTCTTGAGCCTCCCACTTTCCAAGGAGGGGCAGAAAGAGGGCTGTGAGTAATTTATAATCTCCTGTCGCCTTACAGCCATTCTTAGACCACCCCCCC